GGCGTCACCACCGCTTGATCCTGCACCTCCACCGTGCCACCCGCTGCGGTTTCTCTACGGTTCAGATACTGGTCCCATTCCGCAGTCCAATTTTTGACACTCGAAACAACTTGATTCGCAGGCGTCGATGGGAGCACTGATGCAATCGATGAGTCGTACTTTGTAATTTGATGGCTGGTGGCCTCCGTTGATGTCCCGGCCAGATGAGGTCTCTCCGCTTCGTACCTGTGGTCCGCTTCGTACCTGTGGTCCGCTTCGTACCTGTGGTCTGCTTCGTACCTGTGGTCCGCTTCGTACCTGTGGTCCGCTTCGTACCTGTGGTCTGCTTCGTACCTGTGGTCCGCTTCGTACCTGTGGTCCGCTTCGTACCTGTGGTCCGCTTCGTACCTGTGGTCTGCTTCGTACCTGTGGTCCATAGCGGGTGCTTCATGTGTCAGCATAATCGATTCCGTAACCCACTCGGCCACCGAACGGGATGGACCAGGATACCGGTCACATATTAAGTTAGACGCTACCTCCCGCTGATTCGGCTGGGCTGATGTACCTAACTGGTCCTGCAATTGATCCGACCAAAGCGGTGTCTGGAACCACGCTAAGTCTACAGTCGTAACATCTGCTCCCAGCTGGTTCGTCAAAGATTGTTCCGCATCGTGCATAGCTTGCTCTCTCCCATACGTCTGTTTCATCCAATCCGTATCGCCACCATGGGTATCACCACCATGGGTATCGCCACAGACCGGCATAGGCGTCTCCATGTTCCCTTGGTCATTAGGGATCGCCCCTGACGACGGCCACACAAACATAGCCACTCGCAACGTTACTCGATGACCCACATTTCGATGGCACCACACCCGCCGCATACCGGAAATAAAATGCCGTCACATACCCACCCACCACCTCTTGTGCTATAACTGCGAACTTTACTTTCTTTCTAGTGAAGGTCGGAATGGGGAGATAGCTAAACAGCCGATCGCTGGTTCATAGGGTGCGAAACTACTCGTTGCGAACCGCACTGAGCGTTTCGCAAAAGCGTCGTTTGGGGGGCAGTGTTTCTTCTCGTTCAGTGGTTCGGGACGTCGCGGATGTGGCATGCAGCACGGACGCGACACGTTTCCGTGCGGCGCGTTTGCGTACGGCACGTTTCCGTACGGCACGTTTCCGTACGACAAGTTTTGGTTTGATTGAAGGGACGTTGCTTGAAGGAACGTCGGCTGAAAGAACGTTGCTTGAAGGAACGTCGGCTGAAAGAACGTTGCTTGAAGGAACGTCGGCTGAAGGAACGTCGGCTGAAAGAACGTCGCTTGAAGGAACGTCGACTGAAGGAACGTCGGCTGAAAGGACGTCGGCTGAAAGGACGTCGGCTGAAGGAACGTCAGTTGAAGGTGACGGTTTGAACTGTTTGCAGAACGTTTCGGCTCGGTCGCGTTTGAGACCGGTGTGCTTGAGAATGCAGTTCATGGCCTGTGTGTCGGAGAGGGTGGCGGTGGCGGGTATTCGCTCTTTAAAGAGCGCGATAAGTGAAGTGAACGTTTGACGTTCGAATGCTTCGGAGATGACTTTGGTGGCAGAGTCCAAGACCGTGGTCGCTCCTGGGTTTTCGGGGTTCCGCAAGCCGAGGCGTTCTGTTCCATTTTTGAGCCAGTGTGCGGTCCAGCAGAGGAGGTCCAGCTGGCGTCTGGAGGCTAGGGACTCAGGCAGCGGTCCAATGTCGTCGGGGAATACGTCTCTGTAGAGGCAGACGTTGGACCACCAGCCGCTATTCGGAGAAACGAGTAGTTGCCGGAGGCGATAGTCCAGACGTTGTCCGATCTTCATGGAGCGAAGCACACAGGCGAGGTACCACAAGGGCGACACGTCAGGTGGTCGCGGGACTACTCTTTCCGCTGTGGCTATTAGACCGTTTATTTCAGAGCCGTCCAGGAGTTCATTGGCCACACGGACTAAGTGTACCCAACGCCATCCGCAATGGCTGAAATCGAGCTTCATTGTGCGATAGTGAGTTCGCAATCTACTCAGCTTCTCCGGCTTAATCCACTCCGCGACGAAGTTGGTCATTTCCCACTTTCCTTCTTCCGACATGATCCCTTCCCCATCCATCCACTCCTGTCCATAACGCTGTGCCGCCCTCTGGTCTGCTGCGATGTAATCCCGTGCCACAGTAGTGACGAAAGCTCTTAAGGTGGAGTCAGCAGCCGCATCCCACCTGGAAGCCGCACCCAAAGTTACCGGACCTGGTGCCGAGCCCGCACCCAAAGTATCTGGAGCCGAACCCGGAAGCGCCGGCACGCCGTATCGATATTCACATCGATGCTTATCTACGGCCCTGCGCCGTCTCGGTAAGTCTACCCAGCTGAGTAACCAGGAACCCCGCTGACAGGCCGTGAATTTGCTATTGTGCGGAGGTGGGATTCGAGCCAGCCAACTTTCGATCTCTTCGTCAAATCTCTCCGCACCCAGAGCGCGACGTATGTACCAGGCTCGAGACATCCGGGTAAGGGGATTGCATTTCGCGGGTTTTCCAGACTCGAAAGCCGCAGCCGCTTGGTGCAGGGAGAACTGGAGTTTAGAAGCGACTTTTACTAACTCCATTGCCTCATTGCGGTGAGGCAATCGCACTATACTGTCCGGAATGGTGCCTCTATACAACTGCGTAACACAGTTCCAACAGTTCGGTTCTGGAACAACCTTCGCCATCCATCGTGTAACGGAATCTGGTATTCCCAGCTCGTCCATCGCACACGCCAGGAACCATGTATCGGAAATGCCAACCGGTTTCTTCATCACCTTCTGCGCTAGAGCTACCAACGCACCGAACTCGTTGTTCAACTCAGAGGGGCCAGGTGGTCTGTCCTCATGGGGGCCCGGTGGTCTGTCCTCAGGAATTAATTGAGACAACCTTTCTCGGAATAAGATCGATAAATTTAGAGCGCGCCACGCACAAACATCGAATGAGACATCCTTCTCGTCCGGAGCATTTGTGAAACCCAGAGATACATGTTTGGCGAACTGATGTATCTCGGCGTCTGTGAACGAGTGTGCAGCAGCTCCCTCCTCTTTGGCTAGATATTCATCCAAGACCCGAGCAGTCAATCCCCCCAAGACATCACGACGATAGACTTCTTCCTCTTCGACACAAGGTTGTCTAACTTCATCAAGTTGTCTGACATCATCAAGTTGTCTAACATCATCAAGTTGTCTGACATCATCAAGTTGTCTGACATCATCAAGTTGTCTGACATCATAAAGTTGCCTAACATCATCAAGTTGTCTGACATCATCAAGTTGTCTGACATCATCAAGTTGTCTGACATCATCAAGTTGTCTGACATCATCAAGTTGTCTGACATCATCAAGTTGTCTGACATCATAAAGTTGTCTGACATCATCAAGTTGTCTAACATCATCAAGTTGTCTAACATCATCAAGTTGTCTAACATCATCAAGTTGTCTGAGGTCCGTCATGGAATCTGCAGTCGGCTGCATCGCAATTTCTTGTCCCGCTGGAACCTGCAGGGTCAAAGTCTGCAGGATTGCAGACGAGTCCAATATTTCGGTGGACAAGCTGCTAGACGCTGTTCCATCCGTCTGCTTCATTCCATCTGAATATCCTGGGCCATCGGACTCAGAAGTCCCACTTCTAAAGTCAGAGGGTATCTCACCTACGGAAGGCCACACGAAAATAGCCAGTTTGAACACGTTCCTTGCACTTCCATCACACCAAGCCTGACGCATGTTATTTTTTCGTACGTATTTTAACTCCGTCCATCCATCCAAGGCTGGTCCATCCAGAGTACTTGAGAGTGAGTGTGGAGAACACACGCGACTCCACAAGCTCAATGAGGCTCCGTTGTATCCACAAGTGGCCTCACACCGATTCGCCCGTTTTTAAATCCGGAGGACGTATTGGCGAGAATAGGCTCCCTACACCACTGGATGCAATGAGGATTCGGAAAAGGGTTGGTTCCTGAGCACTTTTCTCGGTGGGAGAAACGCGTCTGTTCCAGCTCAAAAAGATTGCAGCAAAAAGATGCCTACTACTTTACCCAAAGATGTTTACTACTTTACCGTTCTGTCATTAATGTAAAACAGGTTCCATCTCTGAGCAAGTCGGCCGTGAATCTGATCGAATCACGTGGTGATCAAGTTTACTTAGACACGGCACAGACTGCGTCGGTTCTAACTTGCTTCCAGAAGGCCTTCTGTCGAGCCAACGCGTCCTTCGAGTCTTTCGCGATGAGGCAGTAGGGGACAGTAGCAAGGCGCAGCCTGGAGCTTCCGGCACTGTCAGCGCCTTCGAGCACAACGTAGGCTTGTGCGTAGCTGCCGATGTAGTAATCCCTCTTGACGCGAGGCCTGCGTTCTTCCGAGCTAGAGATTACCTCTCATCGATCTAAAACTCCTCCAAGTTCTCCAAAATCGTCGCACACTTAGACACGAGCAGCAGGCACCAAGCAGGCCATGGTGATCACTATCGGAGAGACTGTCCATGCTGATGTATCGCTGCGTGCACGTGCCCAACCCAACCCAACCCACGCAAAGACTGACTATCCACAAAACAATATATCGAGGGTGATTGTGGCGTCATGACGCTTTGGATGTGTCCCGATCGTAGGATCCAAAACGCTTCGGATAATTGCTACATGACTCCTATCCACCTCTCGTCCACCTCTCAGGGTCCTATCCACCTCTCGTATCCGAGTGGGACAAGCTCGTTGAAAAAAATCCTTAACGGTATCAACAAATGATTGTGATCTGACAGAGCTATGCAAGTGCCCTTAAATGCGGCCATCCTGCTTGAAAACACGGCAGAGTATACGAGAGGCTATACGCTACTCTGTCATTCTTTCAAGCAAAATTGCCGCACTTAAGGACTGCTTGCAGTTCTTGACTTGGACTGTGGTGGCACCCATTTTACCAGCTTCAACCAGATCATCGTCGCTTCCGCCATGGAACACGGGGATTATTAAGTCGACTGCCTTCTGGTTTTCAAGTGCCCGAACTATTGCAGCCCTTCGAAGAAACGCAGCCCTTCGAAGAAACGCAG